GAGGAGATTATAACAGCAATGGTGGAATTAACATATACGGCACATTCATCTGCTGTAATCTGCGATCGGACAACACGCCGTTTAGCGTTCACGCCCTCATCTTTCATTTTGCTGATTCCGGTGGGCTAGGCACTGAGAGTGGGTTTAATATAGTGCTTTAAAAGAGGGTGTGTTGGTGTATAGACTGTTTTATCATTTATAATATTACCGTCGTTTGATGGAGCACAAAGACATTTTTGCTCTTGTCTGGTACAAATACTCTTCAGTCGAGGACCAGCAGCCCCTTTGAAACACATAAGCCTCGAGGTGTTAACATTATTTGACATTAATAGTTGATAATCATCTTTCCTTCTTTGTTGTTTGATCTAAGTTTTAGACTTTGGTCATCGTGTTAGGTTCCCATTTTTTTTTGCCAATATTTAAATAACTCTCACTTTCGTCACTTCCGTTTTTCTTATGAACCTTCAGAAAAACATAAATCAAAAAAGTGACAAAAAGTGTCAATCTCCTAAATTCTCACTTGATCGTTTGACTCAAGTCACGTTCTCATTTTGGCAACAGTTGTGGAATTATGTATCACCGGACATAAGTGCTAATATTAGCATTGTATTACTAAGATAAAATGCATTTGTATCATTAATAATAGAATAGAGACTACATAAAAAATAGAGCAGGACAAATTATTACTGCAGTTTAATGTGTATAATACACACTGTATAGGAACAGTACTTGCAGGCTTACGAAAAGAGAATCATTCTAAAACACGATTTACAGGTATTGTATATTTTAAATGTTGGTCTTTATCATGAGAGGAAATGCTATGAACCATAAAACTATTGTTATGGACAGAGTAACATTTATTCTCATTTATATTGTTAACTTTAAAAAACAAAATCAGGAACAGACAAATGGACAAATATGACTTTACAACAAATATGATGGCTAAGTAATAGAGAAAGAGGGAAAACAGTCTGTGTACCTACATACAGGACCTTCCTTATGAAGAACAGTGTGACTCTGACTAATGAGGAAGGTCTATGTGTGTGAGTCACATTAATAACAGCACAGAGTGGACACTGAGGGCATTAATAACACTATGCTGTTGCAGGAAGCCCAAAGCCCCGCGCCCATTCAGGCCACATCAATAACAGCACGTAACTTCCAACTATAGCACAAATTATCAGGCCAGCTTGGAAACACATATGCATGTTTGAATTATAATGTATATTTAATTGTCAAAGTCAAGACAAAAGAAAAAATACAAAGTATATGTATAGTAGGAGTGGAGATCAAGAGCTAGGGATAAGATAAGATGGGTTTAAATGACACATGACTACTGACAATTTCTCATGTGTACATTACATGGATAGACAGATAGACAGACAGACAGGTGGCCTCTGGGCTGAATCTTGCCCGTCGAACCATCAATCCCTCAACTAAATTCCAAAATAAACATCAAATATTGTTAGACAAAAATTTTATTTTGATTTTATGTTCATTTTATTTAAGTGTCTGGCCCTGTGACAAATACAGTTAGTGACCTCTGGTTAGGGGTTGAAAACTGAAAAACTCTTCATGCGTACAGTTTCAGGTAAAATCTTATAACACATTAATAACATGACTTTAGTAACAATACTTTATGTACTTTGTGCTTTATTATTATTTTATTCAAATAACAAAGCAAACATTGTGCACCATCTCAGTAAGTGTGCAACTCCAGGTAAATCCCAGAGGTATACGAGGGTAAGTGTGCTGACAATAAAAGTGAAAGGTGGTGCAACATACCACGTAAGTCATGCTGTGATGAGGATGTTTTTAATAGATGTAACAATTAGTAAAGTCAGCACACCAGTAAATCACAGGGAAGTCCAGGAGCACTGGTTATCCCTTACACGAGGTGCGTAGGTGATCTCCTGGGGTGAACTGTAAAAAGGTCAGGTTGTGTCTCATTAACACTGAGTGTAGCTGGTGTCCACATGTACAGTACGGCCCGTGTTGGACATAATGTACGTCCACAGCTCTGTTGCTGCAGAAGATAAAAAGACAATGAAATAGACTAGATTTAAAACTAGTATTTTAAAAATCAAAATCTTCCTTTAAACTTTTAGTCATTTAAAAGAAATTCTAATCATTTTAAGTGTCTGTATCATTTTTATTGTTGCAGATAAACCATCTTTTCTTTACCTTAAAGTCACACTGCAGACTGGGAACAGAAAGACGCCAGTGTTTTTGGACCAAAGATTTTTTTGGCTAATGCGGTGGGTGTAAAGTTTCTGTAAATGGTCTTCTTCCAACTTTTCAGGACCTTTATAGATATCCAGTGATTTTCTCTCTTGTAGGGGATTAGACTTTTTTAGGAGGGTGATTTATAGCCTGATAAATAAACACGAGTAACTTTTTGATTTGTAGAGGTATAATGTGTGAGTTGAGTCTGTTCCCTGTTCCTGCTGTCTGTTGTGTGGGGTAATCAGTGTGATCACACTCATCTGTGTCTCTGTCATCAGTCTCATTGGTGTCTCCTGGTGTCCTGGGTCCATGTCATGGGTATACAGTAAGTCTATGAGAAAGTTCATGATGTTTGGAGAAGAGCATGTCTGGAGTTGACGCTTTATTACTGTGAGTTTTTGTTTTTTGCACTTTGAATAAACCTGCTGCACCTGAGAACATTCTCTCTGGTGCTGCACTTGGGTCCTGTCATGTAACATAATGCTAATTACAAGATCGGGGTACGGTGGTCAAGAGGTTAAAGCGAAGCAATTGTGAGACAGGTCTAAGGTGTGCAGGTGGAATGACAGATGGGTGTTAAAGAAGGGGGTTGGGCTACAATAAAGATCAGTTCTTCGACCCTTCTTGTTGGCAATGATGGTTGACAGATTTGATGGATGAGGTCACGACGTTGTTTAGAGATGACATTGTCATCTGTACTAAGCAGTTGGAAGTGAACCTGGGACAGTGGAAATTAGCAGTGGTTAGAAAAAGAAAACCTTAAGGTCAGGCATGGGCAAACTAAGGCCCAAGGGCCGGCTTTGTAATGTTGTAGCTTTGTAATCCAAACTTGTCCAAATTATATAATAGTAGAAGATTAAGTATTGTTATTATACTTCTGCCTTTTCCCTGCAATGCCCACATTTACCCTATAGATGGCGTAGTGAAGGCTAAAAGCATTTTAGCCCTTATGCATGACTTTTACATGTTATTTATCTTAGTTCACACGGACTCTCCATCTATCTGCTCCTGTCCTGGGCCCCCTGTTCAATTTTAGGACAATTGTGGCTCACGAGTCAGAAAGTTTGCCCACGCCTTCCTTTGGTGAATGAGTCACACATGTTAAAAGGCAAACCTGCAGGAGGGGGGGGGGTACGTGGATGAGTTCAAGTTCCTAGAATAAACCATCCAAAATTGTGGACTGTGCAGAAAGGGGTGATAAAGATGGTGCAGGTAAGTTGAAGTGGATGGAGGCAGTTGTAAGTAGTGATGTGAAATAGGACAGCAGCAGAAAGAAAAGGGGAAAGATGGTTTTCCCTTTTATAAATGATGTTATTTATTCAACACATTTCAAACACATTTTATTTGTTTTTAAAATTGCCATTCAACACAGCTGTGAATTATTACAGTTTTTTTTTAATGCATTTTGCTTAGCATTAGTCATACAGCTTCAAATCCATGGCATTCATTTTGTGCCCATTATTTTAAACATATTGTCCAGCTTCAAATCCATGGCATTCATTTTGCGCCCATTATTTTAAACATGTTACATGTTACAAATCAACTGCGTTTTAGCCGTAGGAAAGTGATTCTACTGAATGGAAATTCTGCCCACAATCAAACAGGAGTTTACCCAGTGAGTCATTTTAGCACAGATGGGACAACCGTGTGTATTTAACGTTTATTCAAAAGCATCAGAGAGAGTCTCTTTTGTGAGTTCTAATGAATAAAACACGATGTTTATCCTCCCTGTTTAATGTCGAGTCCCCGTGAACAGTTACAGGGACCCAGAGAATATTTACTTGTCTTAGGACACCAGGGAGTTGGATTATCTGCTGGCGGGCTTTGTAGTTTTCTAATGCTTTCCCGTGTGATTTGTTCAGTAGAGAGTTCTCTTATGTACTCCCAGCTCCTCTGTGTACAGTGCTTCTTATTGTTTGTTCTTCTGTGTCATCAGTCCTGAGGGACGGGCTGGAAAAGACAGAGTGAGCATCAGAGACACTTCTAACTTCTAACATGAGTGTTGTCAATGCATATTGACCAGTTGAAATAGTTCACATTTGAATTATTATAATTAAAGCTTATTTATAAAACTCTAACTTAAAAAAGACGTTGTTAAAAACTATAATATACTATATAATATACTAACTATAAATAAAACAAAGAAATTCTGTACTATGTATTTTACTCCTCAGCAGAGTTTTTAAACAGACAATTACACACAGAAAATCGTCTGTAATGAGAGTAAATTACACAGATGTACACCCAGCTTCAGCGGTAGACGTGGTAGATCACGGTGAGAAGAAATGTGCTTCTACTTTCAGCAAACTATCTCCGAAAGTACCACAGTTAGAAAATCATTTCTCTCATTCACCCTCATCACTGATGCACGCGCACGTGAGAGTTGTGTTTTAGACCGACAGGTGGCGACATTGGGTTTGCTAAGTGCTGTATGTCTTTGGATTCGACCGCTTGGCTTTGCTCTGCTCCAACACCTTGACCCTGCTGCTTTGTCTGTGCCGCTCTGTTTCTGCTGATGTACAGAACTCTGAGTGAATATCACGTGAATGTTCATAACGCCTTCTGTCGTCTCCTGCGCATACATGCTTTATATTTACTGTGAGAGATATATATATTTAAATTACTTTGGTTTAAATAAGTGAAAGTAAAAACAAAAAAGGGTTTGGCATGTATTTGGAAAACCACACATTTGCATGTAAAATTTAAAACACACACACATACATAGATATATTGTATGTTTATATATTTACGTATATATTATATCGTATATTTTATATATATAATGTATTTGTGGGGGTGGGTTCGTTGCCAATGTATAACTGTCTGGTGTCACACTGGTAGGTTGGCGGTTCAGAAAACTTTGGTATCTGCACTATTATGCTAATAAAGAATGCAGACTGAGCCGCTCATTGGCTGAGTCCTGGTCAATTTTATGTTTCTGTTCTGACGTCAGGGCGCCTATAAAACTAAGCAATGCTTTTTAACTCGTCGGTTGACTGATCCATTAAAAAAAATCCTCGGGTGGACATTTTATTCCACCTTTTCTCCACGAGGCAACTGTTTGCCCGAGACACATACGTGAGCCTCCTCAAATTGGCGCACTAACCCTAAAAGGAGCCGTGAAGTGTTAAATGGTAGAAACAGAGAGAGCGGCGCTCAGACACACGCACGCTGGGAGAGAGGGAGGAAGAGAGCGCAGTCCAATGCGTCTGTGCAACACAGACTGAAGAAGAAGAAGAAAAAAAAAACAACAACTTATCAACGCACACAAAAGCGGACGCTGCGCTGCGCACTTCGTGCGGGAGAATCCACTTTTCCCTCGGTTTTGAAGAAAATAAAAAAAAGAAATCAAGCTGGCTCAGTGCGTGTCTCAACAGCCCACTTTGACAGGTGCTCCTCACCCCCTTTGGAGGACTGTCAACAGCAAGAGGATGGCATCAGAACTGGCAATGAGCAACTCCGACCTGCCCACTAGTCCCCTGGCCATGGAATATGTTAATGACTTCGATCTGATGAAGTTTGAAGTGAAAAAGGAGCCGGTGGAGTCCGATCGCAGCATCAACCAGTGCAATCGCGTGGTCGCCGGGGGATCCCTATCTTCCACCCCGATGAGCACGCCTTGCAGCTCGGTTCCCCCCTCTCCTAGTTTCTCGGCGCCCAGCCCGGGATCAGGGAGCGAACAGAAGGCGAACTTGGAGGATTTCTACTGGATGACCGGGTACCAACAGCAGTTGAATCCCGAGGCTCTGGGCTTTAGCCCGGAGGACGCCGTAGAGGCGCTGATCAGCAGCAATCATCAGCTCCAGACCTTCGACGGCTATGCCAGGGGGCAGCAGTTCAGCGGCGCAGGCGGCGCAGGCGGCGCAGTGGCCGGGGACGAGATGGGTTCAGCGGCCGCCGTGGTGTCCGCGGTCATCGCCGCAGCCGCAGCTCAGAACGGGACACCCCACCACCACCATCACCATCATCACCACCACCACTCGGGCTCACACCATCCGTCCTCCGGTTCTCAGTCCGGCAGTAGCGCGGGGGGAAACCACCAGCACTTGCGCTTGGAGGACCGCTTCTCGGACGAGCAGCTAGTGACCATGTCGGTTCGGGAGTTGAACCGGCAGCTGCGGGGGGTGAGCAAGGAAGAGGTGATCCGTTTGAAACAGAAGAGGAGGACACTAAAGAACAGGGGCTATGCCCAGTCTTGCCGCTACAAGCGCGTCCAGCAGCGGCACGTCCTGGAGGGGGAGAAGACGCAGCTGATGCAGCAGGTGGACCACCTCAAGCAGGAGATCTCCCGGCTGGCCAGGGAGAGGGATGTCTACAAGGAGAAGTATGAGAAGCTGATCAGCACCGGCTTCAGAGAAAACGCCGGCTCCAGCAGCGACAACAACCCCTCATCTCCGGAGTTTTTCATGTGAGTCTTGGCGCTGAAAAGTTTTTACTTCTCGACCCTCACTGAAAAAAAAGAGAGAAAGAGAAAAGAACTTTAAATTTCCGCGCTACATTTGGTTGTGCGCCATTGGCATTTTTAGTTTTTTGTTTTTACTAAAGCCATTCTTGTTTACGAGTGAGTTTCGGTGTGTTTGATAAAATATAGCTTTCTTCAAAAACAGGTTTAAAATGACTCTGACAAACGAATTAACTAGAAACAAACACTAAAAGACTTTGACTAATTAGAACGTTAAAACACCTGACTTCAGCTGCTGCTCGTCCAGCCTCACACCAAACTGTTGTTTTTGTAAAAATATAACAGCTTCCAGGGACATGCTGTAGAGTTCATGTTATTGTCACGTTGTTTCTTTTTCTCTCCCCTCGTTTTCGTTTTAATTGGAGTTTCCTCATTTTCACATCATCACATCGTGTGTGTGTGTAGTGGGGGCGGGGGACGAGAGGGGTTCAGCGGCCGCCGTGGTGTCCGCGGTCATCGCCGCAGCCGCAGCTCAGAACGGGACACCCCACCACCACCATCACCATCATCACCACCACCACTCGGGCTCACACCATCCGTCCTCCGGTTCTCAGTCCGGCAGTAGCGCGGGGGGAAACCACCAGCACTTGCGCTTGGAGGACCGCTTCTCGGACGAGCAGCTAGTGACCATGTCGGTTCGGGAGTTGAACCGGCAGCTGCGGGGGGTGAGCAAGGAAGAGGTGATCCGTTTGAAACAGAAGAGGAGGACACTAAAGAACAGGGGCTATGCCCAGTCTTGCCGCTACAAGCGCGTCCAGCAGCGGCACGTCCTGGAGGGGGAGAAGACGCAGCTGATGCAGCAGGTGGACCACCTCAAGCAGGAGATCTCCCGGCTGGCCAGGGAGAGGGATGTCTACAAGGAGAAGTATGAGAAGCTGATCAGCACCGGCTTCAGAGAAAACGCCGGCTCCAGCAGCGACAACAACCCCTCATCTCCGGAGTTTTTCATGTGAGTCTTGGCGCTGAAAAGTTTTTACTTCTCGACCCTCACTGAAAAAAAAGAGAGAAAGAGAAAAGAACTTTAAATTTCCGCGCTACATTTGGTTGTGCGCCATTGGCATTTTTAGTTTTTTGTTTTTACTAAAGCCATTCTTGTTTACGAGTGAGTTTCGGTGTGTTTGATAAAATATAGCTTTCTTCAAAAACAGGTTTAAAATGACTCTGACAAACGAATTAACTAGAAACAAACACTAAAAGACTTTTTAGAACTAATTAGAATGTTAAAACACCTGACTTCAGCTGCTGCTCGTCCAGCCTCACACCAAACTGTTGTTTTTGTAAAAATATAACAGCTTCCAGGGACATGCTGTAGAGTTCATGTTATTGTCACGTTGTTTCTTTTTCTCTCCCCTCGTTTTCGTTTTAATTGGAGTTTCCTCATTTTCACATCATCACATCGTGTGTGTGTGTAGTGTGTGGACCAGGAGCCAAACACGGTTAAGTTTGGAAATCGATGTGAAACGGACTGTGACCACGATGTGAAGTCAGTCATGCTGGTCGTGTACGGACTGTCTTTGGTTCAGTTTTCATTAAAAGTTTTTTTTGTTGTAAATTTGTGTAAAATGAATGAGGATTGTATTTTTTACCATTTTGTCGCATCACTTTTTTTTGTAAAGTTGTGTTAAAAAAATAAACCTCGGACATTTTGCTTTTCTAAAACTTGCAAGCGCAGACTTTACATGCTTGTTCTAGAACTTTCGAATAGAAATTCCCTAATAAAATCCCTTTTTTAAAATCTATTAATGATTGATACCTATCCACGCATGTAAGCAAAGATTGTGTATTTAATGATAATGTGCGGTTCACGATTACGGGGCTTTTTAAAACATTATTATTATTATTTATTATTCTTTGGTTCCGGAAACAAAAACACGCAACACATCATTTATTCTTTCTGCAAAAATTGTTTCCTTTTCGTTTAAGCAAATGCAAACAATGTACGCTAAACACCATGTAGTTTTATTTGGTAAATCATAATAATGTTATTACCATCACCATTAATAAAAATAATAATAATAAAAATAATAATAATGCAAAATAAATCCAGCGGCTGCGCGCATTTTGTGATGACGCTTCAGGAACTATTTCGTTCAACAGTCGACAAACATGACGTTGATAAATAAACCATTAACCAATAAATCTTCATAAATCGAAACTTAAAATGTTTATTTTTCCCCTTTATATTTGCACGTCATTTGTCTGTCACCGTGTCCTTAACGCGATAAAATGCACGCACCTGAACAATCGAAATTGGAAAATAAATTACAGACATAAGCTGTGACATCACGAATATACACAACAGCTCTTTTTAATTTATTGATTTACTTAATTGTTGAAGTTACAATATCAAGCTCCTAAATGACAGGCTGGAAGAAATATGGGATTTCTTAACTTGATTAATATAATTCTGAACACCGTGTCACTTGTTGATGTTTATTCTTTCCACACTTTTATTTTTAATACAATGAAAACGGGCCGAGACGACCTGTGGCGTACACCCACTTCAACTTAAAACGCTCTGGAAATAGCATGAAATTGATTCGGGTTTCAAAAACTTTTTATCTGTTTTTCCCCCGTTGCTCACTCGAGGCGTAATAAACGCACGGCGTCTGTCGTGAGAGTTAATGATTGATTTAAGAGTAAACTTGAACTTTTCACTCGGAGGATTTTCACTTGTCCAAGGTCATTTGTGAACAGTTTCCTTTCCCAAATCGAGCACAAATAAAGCCAAAAAAAAAAGGTGATCGTGCATAACTATTTATTTTAATAATAATTTAAATCCTGCCTTGATTTTTTTATGCTGTTTTTAAGATTCAGTGTTGTGCGACACATTTTGTGTCAATCTATATGTGTGTAAACTATTTCATATGTTTGTTTTTGACGTTAGGATGCTGAGAGAACAGCGAGTGATTGGTTGGAAGTGATAGTGAGTGGCAGCTCCTGCAGCTCCTGCTGCTCCTGCTGCTCCTGCAGCTCCTGCAGCTCCTGCTGCTCCTCTCTACCTAGTTGTGTGCGTCAGTTTGTGGTTGAGCCACAGTGTCTGGAAGAAGTGCCTTACAAAGTCACTGCCACCACTGTGCTGCTGCTGCACATCTGTGTGGTTTTATGTGTGGGATGAGGGCACCGCGACACCCCCCCCCGCCCCCCTTGTGACCTTTGACACTTTGAGTGCTAGCCTTTGGGGCTGTTTTTAGACACCCTCATGAGTAAGGTATATCAGATACAGAAGAATCAGAACAAAACATGGACTTGTTGAAAGCGGTCGACAAAGAAAGTGTCCCAGACACACGCAGTGACTTGGCTCATGTAAGTCCAGTGACTTATATGGATAAACTGGGATGAGTAAGAGACAGACAGAGAGAGAGAGAGAGAGAGAGAGACGGGCGCTGGCTGACTATCAGTGCTTTCCGATAAGATTAGAGATGCGTCCTAACTGAGGGGAGAGGGCATTTAGTGGGCATGAGTCCACTAATTTGAGATCGTCATACCTGATAAGGTTAATATAGTGTCTTCAGATCCTATATGATTATTTCCAGGGCAGTGGTATTTATGTTGTACTTTTACCCTGAGACTACAGCTGGGATTCACGATGCTTCCGTGTGTATCTACAGTACTGTTTGTGCTTCCTTATATTTAGCAATATTAAATATACATTAAAGGGCAGATATAAATTATTCTGTGTGTCCTCCGACTTGTATAGACACCAGTGTGCCGAGGGGAGGGGGTGGGTGTGTGTGTGTGGGGGGGTTCGCTTCCTATGTTAAAGGAGGACAAAAGGCAAAGGAAGTAACACTTCAGCATTTCCTTCTCACTTCTCTCCACACACTGCTGTTCTGCTGTTTCGGCCTCATTTGTAAAGACTGAGGAATGGTGCGCATTAATAATACAGACAGTGCATTATTAATCTCATCGATACGAGCTGTAATTCTATTCTGCACCCCTGGTATATTGACTTCTGTACTGTAATCCTTTTCCAGGCTGTTCAGTGATTAGATTATTAGAGATAATGCAGTTGTCTGCTGTCATAATATTAGACTCTATTGTCCAGGTCAAGTATGGGAAATCAGTCTGACATTCATCAGTATTGGCACGTGAATCATTGGCATATACGCCTCCTTCATACTTCAGAAATAATAAGGGAATATACACGTTGTGTACACAGCAGTATCTTGCTGATGAGAAAGTATACATGCTGTGCTTTAAATGAAAAAAAATAAATAAATTATATAAAAATATTGACAGCGCATGAACAGCAACAGGTGCACTTTCAAATACTAGATAGATCACTTATTACATTTTTATTTAAATGTTATATATATATATGTTTCCACTTTGTGTGTGGGAGGCATTCACTCTCAGAAGTAACAATTTCAACATCCGTCGGCATCTGCATCACGCCACCCAAAAAAAAGTACTTTTAGGAAACTTTAAGTCATCAACATTCTTCTTCTTCCTCTCCCCATGCCTCTGTCTCTTCCTCTGTCCTCCAGTGTCCTGAGTTATCTGTCACTTGTTCCAAACGTACCCCACGTGCCCACTCATTTCGCTGCTAAACATGTTTGTGAGAATGCAGCAGCTGTGACCAAGTTCTGCTTCAACCTCCTATATGCTTTTTTACACATTCATTTCTTTGTAAACAGATAATGTAAATGAAGGTCTTAGTCTTGACCGACAGCGCTGACTTGTTTTTCGAGCACATGATGTCACTAATTTAGATTCTACAGGACTTAATCATGAGTGGTTTGTCTAAGACGTCGTTCCCAGGATACATAACCGAAGGGCAGCAGGGGAAAATGAAGCTGTTAGAATCGAAATAAACGCAGTTCTCACTCAGAGATTAACACGGTCAAAGCTGTGTTGGTGTTTCAATTGAAGTTTGGTTTCAAGGTGTCTTTGTTTTTTTTGTTTTTTGTTTGTCATTGTAGATAAAGATGTAGTTTGTAAAAAAAGATGCACGGGTGTCAACGTGCATGCAAGCATAGCTTTGTGTCATGAAGGATGCAGTTGGACCTGAGCCGGACTTGTGTATTTTACCTGCATCTCAATAGGTAATTCACCCTCCCTCCCCCCTCTCTCTACCTCTCTCCCTCTCTCCAGCCAGTCAAACAGACATTGATCTCTTTGTCAGGCAAGGTGACCCATAGTGTTGTTCAGCTCTTGCAACGTCTCTTCACTGGCTTTCATTTGTACCTGGGGAAGGCTTTGACCCCGCACACTGCTGCCGAAAGCATCCAAATGCACATGGACCTCACTTACCACCCCGTAACAGGCCGCGTGTGTGTTTGACTTAGCGGCAGGGCACACAGAGTTGACCTATGCAGACATGAAGTGTGTGTGTGTGTGTTAGTTTGTGTGTCTGCGTGCTCGTGTGCCTCCCCGAGTGTTTATCATGCTCTCTGTGTTTGTTTTTCCCCTATAAGCGTGAGAGTGTGAAACTGTAAATCTTCACGGAGAGTGAGCACAGCGGGCAGTTCGCCTGTGTTAATGTGTCAGGGTGTTTTTCAGGTGAAGCTGCTGCTGCAGCCTCCTCTTTGCTGTAGGTCTGTCAATGAGAGCTTCTGCATAGCTGAATGGATTAGAGTCCTTTTGGACCTGGTGTGAATTGGATTACAGGAGAAATGAATGGGTCTCATTGTTGATTAAAGATGGATCGAGGGGGCATTTGTTATAGTTTGCAGCTCCTTCCACCACAATTTCCTCCAGCAAAGCCCGATGCACTTTTTTTTTTCAGGGTGATTTGTCACCTGCTCCTGAAACCATGTTTTCTTTATCCACAGTCATCCCAGACATGAGTTCATACAGTATACATGTCATATATGCTGTTCTCACATGTATGTATATGATCCCATACACTTAGACAAGGCTACACCTACATCACATAAGGTACACACAGATGTGGTGTTTTCATTCTGACTAGGATTTTGCTAAAAACAATATGGTTATATATTTGTATATATATATATATATATATGTATATGAAATTAGGCAGTTTTTGTGCTTATTAAATTATGATGATCTCTGATTATCTGATCTCTGCATACTGCTGCTCTTCTGTCCCTCAATACTTTGTGTACATGCATAATATATACTTTATATATATATATATATATAGGGTAAAATACTTTTTGATGTACAGTATGCAGGGTACAATATAATTAAATAACTACGCTAGATATTTTAAGTTTTTTTTTCACTGAAATCATACTTTATATTTAGATTTACTCTGCCTCACAGTGTGTTCTAATTTTGTTTTGTTTTGTTTTCGTAGGACATCAAGAAAATTCCTCCATCTGTGATGGAGATCCATGAATTCCCCGTCTCCCCACCCCGAAGTCTCAGGTAACCATGCCGTTCCCTCACTCAATAACACTTGGTTTAACAATTTCCATTTAATACACTCTTCCTGTCAAAATGTTTGAGGGACATGTTCAATTGAAAAGTAAATATTACAAGAATCTACAGCAAGGATTTACCAAAAGTTTACACAAAAGCAACTATATAAATATTACATATTATAAGATTTGCACAATAAAATATGTAATATGTAAAATATAAAATATTAAAATATGTAATCATGTTTTAGTTTAAATTTATAAGTATATTTAGCTTGTTTGTAAAATTTAACTAATTAAAATAGTCTTTTCCAGTTCTTTTTCCTGTTTAAAATGATTTAAAAACAACCAAATACTATACTTATTATTTATTTTCTTTTTTTTTTATAAATCAGACCACATTTGATATAAAACAGCATAGCCTGCATTTGTCTAAAAACCTCCAACCGTATGTTACTGTTGACGTCGTCTGCACCACAGTCTTTAGTATTCGCTCCATTTACTTTTACCAACTCCACTCTCTTCAATATTTACTGCATGTGATTTTGTTTTGTCGGGGACCGTGACAGGACCCTGACAGTGGTACTTGATTGACACACACATACAGCTCATGGGACGAGATCCAAAAACCTTTGCTCTCTGTCCTGAACCTCCCCTACCCCCGTGACATTTTTAAACTCTCCCAGCTCTCTCTCTGTCTCTCTCCACGGGTACAAAATAGAACATACTTTTTAAAAAAATGTTATTTCTGCCTAACATGATAGACAGATGAAGAATTGCAGAGGGCAGCAGTGGAGCATTCCAGAAAAAAGTGAGGACTAGTTTGATGGAATAGAGACTGTGGAGAGAGTAAGGGTAGGTGTCATTAGTGTTAGAGTAAAGAAAGGAGCGATGGATTTAAATTCAGACAGGAACACCAGGGGTGAGGAAACAGTGAGGAGACAAGGGGAGGGCAGAAGGGGATGGTGGGAGTACGAGAGGACTCCTTGGTCATGGATGCAGACAGACAGGCAGGGTAACCAAAGGCAGGCAGTGACCTTCCCTGTTGTTGGAGGATCGAAGGCTTTATTTAAAGGGCCTGGTCAATGCTGGGTGCTGCTGAGATATCAGCCTCGCAGCCAGGCGACTCATCACCACTGTAATACAACCCTCCATCTCTAACCCCCGGACCATGCGTGGAGGCGTGCACATGCACGCACAAACACACACACACACACACTGTAGGGGACGTTTTTTGGACACCTCAGGATTTACACTGTATGGCTGAGAGTCTGGACGGAGGAAAGTACTGAATCAGCAGCAGCTAATTTTACTCTGCAGCAGACAGAAAACTCCTCTTTTCTCCGTGTAGTTTGCACTGCGAGGCACGCGTTCATTTTGCAACGAATATGCATTTTATTTCTTGCCATTGTTTTTACTTTTGACTAACTATATATGTATATGACAAATCTTTCATGTCATAAATAGTAGGTTGTGATTGTTTGGACGGAATACAGGCGACTGTGGTTGTGCATGTGTTTGATAGAGGGCAGCGGGGAATTATGGGGCAACAAAACAAAACACAAGAGGAGGACATGTTGGAGGGAGGCTCAGAACGAAGCAGGATTTTCTGTCTTTCTCTCAGTATCCCACACCGTCCCTTCTCCACCTTCCCCTCCCAAACTCGTCTAACGGTGACGATCATTCAGTATATAGATGTGCACGGACAGGGGTCGTAATCTTTCCCTTTTTAGATGAATGTCAGGCAGGGTACTGAGGTGAGAAAACATACATATATAATATTAATGTCATAACATTACATCATAACATCATCACAGTCAATAAACAGCCAACCTTAAATGATATTTAAAAATAAAATTAACAAAATCACTCGAAAAAATGCAAAAACACAACATCTGTCTATGGGTGGAGCAAAATTCCGATTTACTCCATTCCCAGTTCGCTGTCCTTGGCTGAGGCAGAAACTTCACTTGCAGCTGCACAGTTTAACTCTGGGCTGTGCTGCTATCGACTGGAGTATAACACAGCCATCATTCCTCGATCCAAGGAATCCAAATGACGGCAGAAGTATCATTTATTCTTACTTCTTATTCTTCTAATTCTATTTTTTTTAAATAACCAGAGATTAACCCCTGTTCAATTTGGAATCATAAACTAACTGGATGTTTTGGGTTTTTCTTTATTTTTTTGCAAATAACTGAAAAGTCAGGTCTCGAGCCAACCCAAAATTAAAATCGACTCACTTATCATTTAGTCTAAAAATATAAAAATGACATCTTACATTTTGTTTAAAACAGACAGACACCAACACCCACACGCACACACACTTACCATGCAGTGACTGCTCACTGCTAGCTGCTTTGCATTGCACCTGGTGTCTAATTGAATGTCAGCACTCTGGCATTAGCTACAGAGACGTTAACATGCCACAGCATTAACAGTCCTTTGGATGTGTTTCAAAAAGTTCTCTCCTAAAGAGAACATTGATGCTAAGCAACCTATGATTTATTTAAAGCTCTGAACTGCGTCTCCTGTATCCCCTTAAGGATTGTCTTTATAGCTTCCAGCAAATAAGCACTTTATATACACACGTGAAACACACACACACAGGCACACAAAATGTGCTCTTTTTCTTTACCTCTGAGTTTTAAGTATCTGCCTAAGTTCATCCATTGTCCTTAAGATAAATGTGTCTTCTGGTGTCTCTGCATCGAGTCCTGTCCATCCTTCCCATTCAACACCCTGTCTTTTATTACCTGGCACTCTAACGCTGGCTGTGGGCTTTAATGGAACATGTTTCCTGGGCCAGGCTGAAACGGGATGCATCGTCTCCTTGTTAGCTTGATAAATAACCGGGCTGCAGAGAAAGTGCTGAATTTTAGCTTTTAGCATCTATTTTCTGCTGGGTGACATTAATTTTTAGTGCCGTGAAGGAGCTTACTAATACAGACAAATAAATATAGGAGGAGAGAGAGAGGAAAAACGCAAAGGTGCCGAAGTCACTCCGCTGTCATATCTGTTCATTACCAGGTATTTATATATGCAAAATGCAACCTAGCAGAACAAGACAGGAAATATAAATGAGGCAGGTGTGCACGTAGTTCATGTCTTTGTGTCATTTTGTCCACAAGTAAATTCATCATCAGTGCTACTCTATAGGGTAAAATATTTAGTATTATTAAATATTTAATATTATTAACCAGAAAGTGAAGATCTTAGTTTGTGAGCAACTGAAGGATACTGTATGTGTCGTCACCTTCTCTTAGCCACGCTCCTTCATTCATGTCTTTAATCGGAGGAATTTATCTCCTTAGGTCAGGAGTGTCAAACTCAAATTCACAGTGGGCCAAAATTAAAAACTGGGACAAAGTCGCAGGCCAACAAACTGACGTCAGTTGCGCATGTTTTCCCTTCTCTCCAGATATGAGATGTAGAATTTTTTTCCCAATGGAAACAGCCAAAGCTTAATATTATAAACACACATCAGTAGTATTTGTTTCATATTATGTCTCTTTATCTGTGGCCTTTTGAGTTCTTTTTTAGTCGAAATCTTTTTTCACAGGCCAACAGCAAAAAAAAACAAACAACCAAAACAACCAAAATGTATGTGCTATAACAGCGTATACACCACTAATACTACAAATCCTGCCAGTATACAGGGGCTTTATACTGGTGGGCCAACTCTAGTACACATTTGATATAATCTCGTGGGCCAAATATATTTAGTATGAGTTTGACTCGTGTGCCTTGGTGTCTTTCACACTTGGTCACAACCTGTTTTAATGTTGCTTTAATAGTAATTATAATCATTTTAACGGGTTTCGGTTGACAGTAATAGAGGGACCTATTGAGAGAACTGTTTTGATACGTTGTAGTTATAGTTACGAAATCTGTTACGAAATCTGACCCATTTGAAAATGTACTGTACATTTACCTTGTGATTTAGCGTCGTACTTGACTGCGTGTTGGTACGTGTGTGTTCTCCACACAGTCAAATGCTGCGGTTTTAGTCTTCGTGCAGTTTTGTTGTCATTTCTGCAACATCCACTGCTTCCTGTAGAAGTACCTTGGTTGTGTTCAACACATCACTGTGAAGTAGCTCCGGCTGAAATGCACTCATTCATTATTTTAACAATGTGTGGTGTGGTGAATAAAAAGGTCACTGGTGGAAAACTGGCTCCATGTAACAATCACATGCATGAACTCAGCACTGCAGGACCTTCAGTCAGTGTGCTGCTGCTGAAGACACTCAGGGTGTGTGTGTGTGTGTGTGTGTTTTAACAAAAGATATACCATTCAATTTCTACTCTCTTTTACTATCAGTATTGATTGCTCCTTTTTGCTTGTCCTTTGCCTCACTTTGGTGGACACCATTTATCAGGACACCGCTGGACTTTAGGTGTTCCGAGATGTTTGTTTTTAAAGCAAACCCTTTTATTAGATCCATTCTATTTTTGTACGCCACGTGGTGCAGACGCAACGCAAGCAGTGTGCGTGTTTGCTTTGCAACGCACGGTTTAATTTCTCAGGCTGAATTTATCACATGCAGTCAAGTTGCGGTCACATGACAACATTAACCACTGCCAGCAAGTGGGGCTGATAAATCACTCTCGTACAGGAAGAGGGAAAAAAAAAAAGGATGTAACGTGGCAGAGAGGAAATGACAGAGTGCTAAGAAAGTGGAAGAGGAATAATAAACAGCCAGGACTTCAGCCAGGGGGGTTCACTCTTTGGCCATTTGGAAAGGTGTCGTTGAATGTTATTGTGGTCAGGACCCGTATTATGAACTGTTACCAGTAAGGCTCATTGACTTCCACTGGCAGAGACAAGGAGACAGATGGTGGTCATTTGTTTGCTTTATTGTGATTGTGACCTGACTGCACTGCTTTATTTACTGATAGAGATGCTCATGTGTGCAGCTGTGTGCATGCCCGGACAAGCAATTGCATTTGTGTCAAGAGGTAAAAAAGAGATGCAGAGACTGTCCGTGCACAGCCATCAGTTCAT